ATCACAGGATGTCTCAACGTTCGGAGGAGAACTCTCAAGATGCTGGTTTGTTCGCAAGGAGTCGTTCAAGCAAGCAAGAAGGCAAGGGCAGCAAAAGGAATACTAAGTCCAAGGACAATGAAGGGTGCTTCGAGTGTGGATCTATGGATCATTGGAGACGAGATTGTCCGGTATGGAAGGAGAAGCTGAACAAGATGAAGAAAGCTGGAAGTTCAGCCCACGTGTGTGATGAGGACACATGTGATGAACTCTTGACGGTTACGGAGGAAAGTAACGGGGAAGTCATGGCAAGTTCTTCGTGTAAGAATTCTTCTTCAAGTTGGATTTTAGATTCCGGGTGCTCATATCATGTGTGTGCAAATAAGTTGATGTTTGACACATATGAGGATAAGGATGCATGCAAGATTATGTTGGGAGACAAAACTACATGTGAAGTTTTGGGCATAGGGACTGTGAAGATCAAGTTGCAAGGTGGTGAAGTTTGGACTCTTAGTGAGGTAAGGTTTGTACCTGCACTAAGAACGAATCTAGTCTCTCTTGGTTCTTTGCTTAGAGAAGGTTGCTCTTACAAGGCCAAAGGAGGGAAGCTCATGGTCACACAAGGTTCTGTGGTGGTTATGAGGGGGGAGATTCAACCAAACAACACATACAAGCTCTTGGGTGGTGCAGAGATTTGTACCAAGGAAGAGCAAGCAACAAGTCTTAATGTCAAGGAGCCGATCCAACATAATGCAGCTGCAAGTGTGCTCAAGAGAAGTTGGGCAAGGAAGGTTAGTCAAGGTTGTGTGACTAACAATTCATCATCAAGGGTGCTTGATTTCAAAGGTGCAGAAGGTGTGGAGTGGAAAATCCACAAAGGTGAAGTCAAGACAAGGGATGATGGGGAGGATGTTGTTGAAGAGAAGCTTTTTGCCAAGGTGGTCATTGAAGGGACTCCATTTGAGGTGGAGCTTGACACAAGGGCTGAAGAAGGAGGGCAACAACAACAAACTCACAAAAGGGTTCTACTTGAGGTGGAGCCATCATCAATTGCAAGGTCCGGGCCCAAGGAATCCATCAAACCTTCCCTAGGTTTTGGATGGATGGACCA